GTTCAAGTATCTGATTTTGTGTTACGTCTAAACTTCAGAAAGTTGATCAGTTTGGTTGCTTCACTTAAATGGGGTCACTTTATCTGCTAAGGAGTTTTTACTCTGATACATGTATGTTATTCTGGATGGAGAAATTTGTCTTCTCAGTAAAAAAATAATTCCCATCTCTGATGCCAAGGGAGTAGAAATTAATATGGGAAGACTTAATAACATAGCATAATAGATTAATGTTTTGCAAATTAATGACTTCTTATTTTGAAACAATTATCTTGTGAAACATCTTCAGTTCTATGCAGAGTTTTGGTGCGTCACCTTATGACATGGAATGGTAGCTTTACATATTTCTTTGAGAGATTTTGAAAATATGAAGATAATAAATGATGACTAATGTACACCATCTGGTTAGGGTGGGGGAAAAAAATATCCTGAGCAACAGGGTTTCTGCTAAGCTGATTTACATAAAATAAGAGAGCAAATGCCTTCATTTTTTTTTTTGAGAAAATGAAGTTCTAGTGATTCCACCTGAACTCATTGGGTAAGGGTAGCCTTTGTTTTGTATTCCATGATGAATATCAAACTGCAGTTCCTTGCACTCCATGGGAAAGGCAGTGTATATTATCAGTCCTGTTGCATCATAAACTCAGAAAAAGATTGTGGGGACTTGATGATTTTGAGCAGCATGAACAGAAGTGTTAGACAGCCTTACAGGAATCAGCTGCCTATGAGGAGAGATGACCTAGCTTTGTGTGGTATCAGATCAGTGAACAAACAACTATTAATTTACACAGCCTTAGGATTAGATCCTTCATAACACAGACATATTGTTGTGCTTCATATCTTCTTTAGGTTTACAGCTGTCAGTTTTTTCTGCTAATTTTGCGATGCAATGTAGAACCAAATGCAATAATATATGTTAGAAATTCTGTGCAATTTCTACTTTATTCTGTGCAATTTCTTAGAACCAAAACTCCTTTCTCAGTTTGTTTTAATACAAACTTTGTTTTGCAGGTACTGGGTCTTAGGTAATTCAGTATTTTTTTTTGCTTGGTTGTTGTCTTTCTTGGTATTCCTACTTCCATTTTTAATGAAACAGAGCATTTAACTTAAAAATCTCAAATAGTTTGAACAAAATAAGATGTGCAGGGATTTATCCCATATAGAGAGAAGAAAGCAGATAAATGCGTGCATCATATCCTGCTAGACCTGCAGTCTCCGATCTGTATTTTGAATTTATTTCTCTCTTACTGGTTTAGATTTATTTTTACATAACAACTCCACCTCTACAAGTTTTCCAGTAATGCTGAAAATCATATGATAGATTAAAATTCGTTTACTCTTGAGTAATGGGTGCTTGAGCTCTGGACATACGAGGTGATGTGTGGCCTACAGATGTATCAGGGTTGCAGAGGCAAGAATTGATGTCCATAGTGACTGGCAAGAAATTACCCAAGTGTGAGAAGGGACTGCCAGAACCTTTCTGAGGGTGAGCAGGTTGTTAACTTTGCAGTTTGTGTGAGAACATCTGCTGGCTGCCTACTTATCAAAGAGCCCAACAGTCTGTAAAGAAAGCACAGCCTGTACTTTGAATATTGTTAACTACAGGGCCAAGTCATTCATTTGGCCTCTGTGGAAGACACAAGTTGTGATAAATAAATTGAGTGCATGAGAGCATGAAAGGAAGGAAAGCAGGAAGGGAGAAAATAATAGTCCTCTTTGTAGATGTATAAACTTGTCAGTGTTCTTTTTCTCAAGGTTTTCAAGAAATTGTTGGCTGTAGGATTGCCCAGTGGCTGTTGATACAAAGCATCTTGCCCTTGTGCCATTGGTTCCATTAATAGCATTGTCCCTGATTCTATCTTGTATCCATTGTGGGTATATGTTTCTAGGCGAAAACTCTGGAATCAGTCAGATATATATATATACACATATGCCTTATAACAGGGAATGAGAATGGAAAGAAACATTTTCCTTCCTTTCTGTGGAAAAATGGAAACTATCTAGGTGTTGAAGGTTATGTAGAATGCAGGAGCTTTTAGATGTTGAATGTGTAGTAGGTGCAGGTGGTCATAAATGACCTGAATCTATCCCTACTTTTCCCTGTGATCATGTAAGAATTATTAGAATCATGTCAGAATAACAGAAATTATGCAACTGTTACCTGGGAGAGACCTTTGGGAGGGTACCTTTTCCTTCAGCTCCTAGCAGGACTGTTGCCAGCATTAGATCAGCTCAGCTGTACCTTTGACTAGCTGCATGTTCCCATTCTGCACTATCCTTCTGATTAAGAAGTTGTTCTCAATATTCTGTGAACCTCCAAACTTGCAGCTTGTGGCTGTTTCTCATTTTACCATGTGCTGCTAATTATCATTTGACTTTGTAGTCTTTTTAGCCCCGTTCAAGTAGTTGTAGTCTACTGTTAGAACTCTTAGGCTCTTGTTTGATGGAGAGGACATCCTCCGTGCTGGACAGGAAATCTTCCCTTCACTGTAGCCTGCAGTTTCTCAACACCTATTCTGAACTAAGAGGCCTGAAACTGCAGTAGTGTTGCAGCCTCACAGCACTGAGAGGGAGGTGCACAATAATTTCCCTCTATCTGCTCACCATGCTGTTCCTAATTTGTCTGATTTACAATGAGCACATATTTAACTTGGTGCTCACTGTGACTTCCAGGTCCTTTCTCAGCCTATCCTGGTGTGGGATTATTTAAGCCAAGCTCAAGGTTTCTTCTGGTCCACCTGCTAAGGGCTGGTGTTTAGCCCTGATAGCAGAAGAGCATTAGTATATTTTTTGAAAGGGAGCAGTGAATGGCAGAGGTGATTTTTAAGATGGAACCTGGCAGGTTGATGGATGGAATTAAATGACATATTTTGCCTATGAAATAAGACACTGGACATGGTGGCCCAGAAGGTCCTATCCTGTCCTGTATCCTGTGTTCCTTTTAAGTAAAGAAGCTATTGAAATTTTGCATATATGAGACTCTTTTTTTTGTCTCACTTTCACTAGTGTAATTTTGACATATATTTTGCCCATAGCAAATGCCAACCATAATATTTTTATCTTCCTTATGTTGTCTTACATTATTTATCTTTCTATATCCAAGCTGCAGACTTAGTTGTATGCAGGGAGACAAAAATAGCTGTTATTGTGGAATGTGTGTACATGGTAGGATTTGCTTGTATTTAAGCATTTTTCTAGTTTGTTTCTCAGGGATGCTCATAATTCATATTATTGTAACCTTTGTGGTTCTCTCTAGCTAAAGAGATCTGATAGATTTTGGTGCACAAGCTATTCACATTTCTTCTGTGAGGCCACTTCATTCTGGTTATTCTAGTTTGTCCTAGCTGATTGGTAATAAATTGATGGGTCAGTGAAGGGACAATTTTGAGCAAAGTATTAGGAACTTCGAGGAGAAGGAAGAAGTCCATCCATTTCACTGGGCTGGAAGATCTCATACAAAATGTAATGTAGCTGAGGAGAAGCTGCTTTGGGTGAAGCTCTAGGCTGTTTATGAAGTGCACTTAAATGAGAGGAAAGAGGTGGGAGTATAGGACTGAGGTGAGATCCAGGCATCTTTGCTTTGCAATAGGAGAAAGCCTTACCTGTGATAGTGATCCCAGGGTGCTGCTTGTTGGCAGTGGAGACCTGATGAGGAGTGTGTAGTTTATTGATAAGCCTCTGCATCTATTAAATCACCAGTGTCAGGTTTCTAAATGGATATATCACATCCTGTACCTAACAATCCTAAATGGCCTTTTCACACACGAGAATATCAAGACCTTTTTTTAAATTGCAAAGGTTTGGATTTTTTTCATTTGATTGTATATGAAAGTGCCAAGCTGTGTAACGAATAGGGAATGTGTATTTTTGTGTGTAATGTCAGTGCTCTATTTGAATATATGATACTAGAAGATTGTAATCCTGACAGAGCAGTTGTAGACCATGTAATTAACAATGAGTGTGTCAAATGAGCAATATCATGTGTTCCTGAACAAGTTTAAAAAAATGAATCATGCTCCGTGTCTTTTGTTCTTGGCTCTAATATTTAAATAGCAACAGATAACTAAACAAAATATTATAGTAAGTGATTAAATGGTGATATCTGAAGGTAAAAAGAAAAATGTGTTAACTGATCTATTTTAAAAGCAGTAAATTCTACAATTTATCCAAATCAAGTATGCTAATATGATGGATAGAGGAAGCCACAAAAAATATTATCTAGTTAGTTGAGGAAAGGGACTCAATGTATAGCTTTGTTTTAAATAAGAATTTTGGTAAAATGCAGAAACTGAAAACATCTAAAAAACCATTGAAACAAATCTGAAGTTGGAGTTTCAGTTGATACAAGGTGGTGATATAGTACCTTAACATTTCTTCAAGTATGATATGGTGATTTAAAGGAATTCTGGTGATGTAGAACACAGAATAGGTCAGTGTAAGCTTCCACATGAAGATGAAGAAGTTGCAAGACAACATAAAATTAAATGAAGACCCTGTTAAACAACATAACATTTTTGGATCTCCTTAGTATGGAATAGTACTATTTCAAACTTCTTATTAGGTAGAACTCTGTGGGTTCTGATCAAATAAAGGCTGGTTTAGTGAATAGTGAAAGTAAGTATATCACTGCTTACCTTTCAAGGGCATATCCAGGGCCCTGTTCTACACCCTTTTCTGGTTTTAATGAATGCAGAGAATCCTATTGACCTGGATGGGACTATTTGCTTAAACAAAGGTACAGTATACTTCCATGTTTGCAGAAACAGAGCTTTTTTTTCTCTCCCAGAATGTGAAAACAAGAAAATCTCATGCAATGATGTAGATATAACCTTGTCAGTACAGTAATTATTAAGTGTTATGCAATTAAAACCTGTAAAATAAACTGCTGTGAAGGTATCTCCTTAGTCCTGATCAATACAACTTGTCCACTTATTGCAAATTGTAACTAGTAAAAGAGCTGTTCAACTGCATTGTCTTTCATTGTACCTTTTTGTCTTCTACAGGAAAAAGTAGAATATGCCTTCCTGATAATTTTTACAGTTGAAACATTTTTGAAGATTATAGCGTATGGATTATTATTACACCCCAATGCATATGTTAGAAATGGATGGAATTTATTGGATTTTGTAATAGTAGTTGTAGGGTAAGTACTTATCTTTCTTTATACAAATACTAAAGTTTTTCTGTACAGTGAGGGAGATACAGGTCTGTTTGGCTGTGAGTAGCAGCCTATGCTTGATTTCTGTTCCTTTGGAGTAAACTCCTGATGTGTTTCCGTGTGATGAAGGTTGATCTCTTGAGGGCCATACATTATTTCATTTATCCCTGTGCTGTGGTTATGTGAAGTTCATATAGTCTACAAAGACCTCTAGGAGAACTCACGTGTTTCACAGTGGTCAGGGAGATGGAATTAACAGCATTTCCTTGACATTTCCAAAATTTGAGGAAAATTGGACATCCTTTGGGATGCTGCACATCAGGCCCCAGATACATATGTGACTTTGACTTGCCTAGGGAATGGATGCTAAAAATGCCTTTGTTTGAACCTTGTGAACCTTATTATACTGGGAAGCCCTGGAGAGTTTGTTCTTTGCCTCAGAGCTGGGTCTGCTTGGGCCTTCTGCAGGTTACAGAAGAGTGAGGAGTAGAATATTCCATGTTTACATTATGTACCTGCTTATGGTAAATAATTTTTTGTGTCAGTAACTTCATGTCACTGGTTGTACAAGTTCATTAGATCCTCCAGCTATCTAGGGAATTAATCTCAAGGCATATATTCACCAATTTACTAAATATTATGGAGATTATATTAAAAACAGGTTTTTCTAGTATTCTAAATTCTGTTTACTGAAAATATTAGTTATCCAGAACATGCAGAACATTCTCCATCTATAGACTTTATATGTCATGGCTGGCTTGCAAAGACAGCCTTAGCTTGCAGTGTGTGATTCTAATTTCATTTTAAAATGCAAATTATACCAATGATTGCTTGTAATTGAAAAAGTCCAGAAATTAGTGTGTGCTGCTCTTAACTTGTATCATTACAATAAGGGAGAAGAAAAAAATGCAAAGTAAAGGAATTTGTGGTAAAGCACTGTGAAATTTGGGCAAGTACTATGAATGTATGAGTGCTGGATTTGTAGCTATTTGATTCTGAGATACTAAATGTTACTGAGAAGAGTGTATTTGGGCCAGTTGCTTGGCATTCAGGCAGTTTTGGTCCAGGACTAAAATTTGTATATAAATAGATCCTTCATCAGGTCAGGTCATTCTCAACAGATTGGCCTCTGTGCCTGAAGGGGAAGCTTGGTGGGCAGGTGTGGAGACTGTCACACACAAGAGCTCTATTCTCTTGCCAAGCAGTCACTTGAATAGACCTCTTCCCGTTTGTCAAGTGACCACAGAGTTACAGTAACCCTGGAGCAGTCTAATTAACATGACCTCTATCTTTGGCTGTGTCCTAAATACATGATAACTAAAAAATTTTCCATTAACTTATAAAACACTCATTATTGGAAGCTAAATGTAGTTAGTTCAAATGCTCACACTGAATCTGTTGAAAATATGAATAAGAGCTCTATCTTTTCAAACACCTAAAGTATCTCAGTAGGATTGTCCTACTTCAAAAGAAAAAGTTTTGGAATGCAAACTATTGTCTAAGTTGTCATCAGTCTACCTCTGACATAAGGTAGACCTTTCATGGCATGTCAGGCACTGACAAAACCACAAGCAATGCTTTTGTTCTTTTAAGAAAAACGCAGTCTACAGAAGTAAGTAAGCATGAGTCCATTTATCCAATTAGTTCTTAAAAGCCCAGTGAAAAATTGATATATAACCCAAGGTGGATATGGAATCACTTCTGGATCTGATTCTGTTTGATTCGTTTCAGTGTGAAATTCCATTAGGGATTTTAATAGCTTTGAAAGAGCTGCCATGATGTCCTGTATTGAATGCATTGAAATTTGCTTCATGTGCTCTCTCAGCAGAAACTGTAGGCAGTCCAAATGCATAAATCTTAATTATGCCTTAAGAAATCTCTACTAGGAAAACAGAAATATGTATAGAAATTATTTTCTACAACAAGTCCAGCATTTAAACTTTGGTCAACTACAGGAATATAAATGGAAATTTCAGTAAAGGGCATCAATAGTTTTATATCTTGATGCCCTTATAGAAATGACATATGTCCTGGTTTCAGCTGTAGACATAGCTGTGAATGTAATACTTTCTAATATCTATATCATTTCTCTCTGAAACCAATCAGAGTATGAGTTGGGTTTTTTTGTCTACTACTTGCCTGTATGCTATGGCACCTAATTTCCACTGATTTCTGTGAAAGAATAAGATAGAGAAAGCTTTCATAGCACCTTCTTATGCCTGTAGCCCTTTAATTTTCTTGTGTATTGTATGAACTGACCGACTGAAAGCAGCTTCTCTGAATTCAGGACTTGATTCAGAAGTCTATTTGATAATGTCTGCCTTTAGAGCATAAATGGTCACTCTTGAAATCATTGAGGTGGCTCGTTTTCCTACAATTATGCTTTTATTAAATTATTGGGCTGAATCAGGTCCTAAAGTACTGAATGTCTGGATTTGGATATAGCAGTATGTAGGTTACTGATGTTCATTCTAACAGCTGTAGAGTCTTCGTGGCTGGTTTTGCTCTGTTGGAGAGTGATGCAAACTAGGGATGGGTATTGACTAATGTGGGTCAATTGCTTACTGGGGGAGAGTAAAGTATCCAGTTTTCTAGTTCAGGCAAACTATTAAGTAATATATGATTTCAAGCAACTATCTAGCATGACAGAGTTGTGAAAACTCTTCATGACCAAACTAAACCCCTTCATGTTTCAGGTGTCCTTTACAAGTGTGAAACATTTCTCAGGACTACAGAACTCTAGTAACTGGATAATCCTTTCAGGAGAACTGCAGTTTTGTAGCTATTAAGCTTTCTATGAAGGCTAATATAGTTTGTGTGGTCTAGCCACAGTCTAGAAAACTATTCATCTGAAATGGAGCTCTAAAATAAAGATTACTTTGTATTTCAAACACTTACATCACTTTAAATTGCTGCTGGAAGTGGGAAAGAAGAACAAAAGTCTTGTGAACTGTTCTAATGAATGACTAGTTCATTTCTGCAGGGAAAAAATACAATATAATAAATGAGTCATCTGGGAATATATTTATCCTCAGAGATATTATGTGTAAGAAGCAAATCTTTTTGGTGTTATTAAATGTTGCACTCTTAATTATTTTTAATATATTCAGTTTCTGCTGACTGTATATAGAATATTGAACTGCAGTGTTACTTGGAGTTCATATGTTCCACCAAAATTAAACCAGTTGGTTTTGGTTATTATCTATTTCTTCTACTAAAGAGAACACTAATTCTTCAAAGCTTTCAGCTAAAATGTTTGAATAAAGTGGCAAAGGAACTTCATTTATTTAAAAATAGCAAATTGTGTATACAAGCAGGATGCTAAGTTATTGGATACTGTGTGATCCTTGCTCTCTAGAGGGATTAGAAACTCTTGAGATTCATAACTCTTCCTGTAATGATTTAATGTGTAAATATACCTTTCGTTTTGACAGCTGAACAGCTCTTCACAGTGATCTGCAGTTCAAGTCAGTTCCTAATATCTTTGTATGGTAAATGATTAGTGATGACCTTACCTTTCATCTCATTTTCTAGATTATTTAGTGTAATATTGGAACAATTAACCAAAGAAACAGACGGTGGCAGCCACTCGGGTGGCAAACCTGGTGGCTTTGATGTCAAAGCCCTAAGAGCCTTTCGTGTATTGCGACCTCTCCGGCTTGTATCAGGAGTGCCCAGTAAGCTCTTGTCTATTTAATTCCATTGTCATGAATACTGTAACTGCTCTGATATTTTAACTTTCTCGTTTCAGACACTAACAGAAATGAGGTAGTATAAAGTTGAGTTTTAGTTATCTGGTTATGTATATAAAGGGAATTTCAAGGTGAATGATCATCTTTCAAGTCAAACAAGGGGTTGTGAATTCAGTCAGTGTATGATCTTCTTACACAGTTCAATAAGCAGACAGGGGAATACGCTTCCTTTTTAGAAGCTTTGTATAAAAGTAAAATACATGTTAAAATGCAAATACATCAGAAAATAAAATCGAGACTTTTTTTTTTAATTCTAAAAGCCTTCAGATCTGAAAGTGTAGGTGGTCCTAAACCAGTTTAGAATTTGGTAAGTGTATGCTGAAGCACATTACACATTTTGTATTTCCTGCCCCCTCCAATGCACATGAATGCCTTCTGTTTATCACAGTAGAGCTAACAGATAAATTAGGAAACTTAAAAAGTGGGACAATATTGTTTAAAGAAAACAATTGAGTTTTCTGATAATCTTTCCCATTTTCTTTTAATACTATATGCTTTAATACTTTTAGTAATCTTTTTCAGTTATTAACTACTGAAGCTATTTGGGCTGAATATGAAGTTCATGGCTTAGAATTCAACAAGACTTGCAAAAGAAGAAACCTAATTCTGTGTGTATTATATCATGGTCTGTTATGTGGAAATGATCGTGATGGTTTATATTTGGCAAAAGAACTTGTGTGAAGAAAAAAGTGGTTCTATGAAATGCCAGAAAGGAAGTCTAATAAATTAAAAATAAGGCATACTTTATTCTCATTGGTACTGTGGGAACCTCATTAGTCTGGGACTCATTTGTTTCGGTAAAGCCAAAATTTGGATAAATATTTAATTGAGGCAAAGGAAAATTAATAGTTCTGAAGGTGATATGAGGGATAAATGGTGAAAGTGTGTTCAGAGTGTGTTTTCCCAGTTAACTATATTTTTCTCTCCAGACCAAAAATGCAGTTGTGCCACTGGCTGAGGGTACATTTTCTTAGGACATGCCACAAAGTTGTGGTTGTAGCATGGAGCTTCTTAAAGGACATATAAAATGACCTACAGCTGCACACTGACTACATGCCCTTTCTTTCTAAAAATCTCTAGATTTTTGTGACACATTTCAAGCATTAACTTCTGTCACATAAGATTTATTAACAGAGGAAATTATTAGACAGAAAGTTTTAGATCCTAATGAAGTTTTTTATTTTACAGGAACATTTTGTGATTCTGGGCAATAGACATTTTTTTAAACAAAAAACCCTGATTATCTCTGCATGTCTGTATGATCAGTTTCAAATACTGTGTAATTGTAGAAAATTTGGTAGGGCAAGACATAAAAATCTGGTTCATGTCTTATATTCTCTTTTGTTTTTCCTTTTAGGTTTACAAGTTGTCCTGAACTCCATTATAAAAGCCATGGTTCCCCTCCTCCATATTGCCCTTTTGGTATTGTTTGTAATCATAATCTATGCTATTATAGGATTGGAACTTTTTATTGGAAAAATGCACAAATCGTGTTTTCTTATTGATTCAGGTAAGTCTTAAAACTGTTGATTAAAATAAGGGTTTGATTATGTTTTCTTTTAAGTTTGTGGGATTTCAGTTTGAAATAGAACTAGGGGCCAAAGCACTAAAACTAGTGTAACCCCAGTTTACCCTGTTGTTTGTCATTTTAGGTAGAGTAGATTAAATTCAAAAGACACCCTAACATAAAACAACAAACCTCCAACCCTGTGAAAATTCAAACCAGTTAGAGACTAGAACATACTCTGTATAGGTTTTAATTTCCAAAGTGTAGCTGAAATATAAGTAGTGGAAATAATAAGAGTGACTGTCTGCAAGGGACAACTCATTTTTTTCTAATCCCTGATTGCTGAGAAGCTGGCTAGTCCTCTTCTGAGGAATGTACACTGTGCTGAGTTTCTAATTTGACAATCCTTCAAGATTGTGGCACTGTGGTAAGAAGTGCAGTTCTGAAATGAGTAAAGAGAGAAAACAGTGTTATACCATTCAAGTGAAATGATGAAACTGGGTGTTATGGGGGAGTTTGGGAATTCATCTCCATCCTCATGTTGGAGAGAGTTTACCTGGTGGCTAAGGGTGCATTTCTATCAGCTAAGTAATGAAGGAGACAATATATAGTAATTAGATTTGTTTTCCTTTGTGTTGGTGTGAAGTGGCATGAAGTGAGGTAACAGCAATGAAGAAAAAAAAATTAGCATGAGGAGATTCTTAGAAATGATGTGTTATTACATGCTTCTTTCCACTGCTTCATTACTCAAGGTTTTTAAATCATTGTTTTAATTAACCTATTTTGAGTTTGTAAAGCTCAGATGTGAGAGAGACTAAAAATTCCAACATTCCCATGCGTTGCCTTTCTCAGCATTTCTCAGCTTGAAATCTGGATTTACCTTACAACAGGGTTGATATTCTTCATGTGAAGGGTTAACTCATAAAAAAATTGAGAACTCAAGGGTTCTGAATTTTATTTTTTTTGACATTTTTTCAGATATACTAGTTGAAGAAGATCCAGCACCTTGTGCATTCTCAGGGAATGGACGTCAGTGTGTCATGAATGGCACTGAATGTAAGGGTGGATGGGTTGGACCAAATGGAGGCATAACCAACTTTGATAATTTTGCATTTGCAATGTTGACTGTGTTCCAGTGTATAACCATGGAAGGATGGACGGATGTGTTGTACTGGGTAAGTTCATCAATAGCTGAGCTTTGTTTACTTTTAAGCAAGCTTCTGTGTTCAAGTGAGAATTAAGCTGTGCTGTACAATACCCTCAACAGGACATCTTGGTGAGTTTTGCAGGAGACAAGCTCAGCTGCATACTTTTTCCAGTCACAGCATGTTACTGGACTCCTCAGGCTAAAAAGACATTTTAGAAACAAATTTATTCATTGCTTATTTGAGGGCTTTTTGCCCATTCTATTTGGATAAATGTAATACTACATTTATGTCCTTTGAACTAGCATTTTTTCGTGCGAGCCTACAGATATTAAGTATGTCTTCACTGATTAAGCTTAAGAGCTCTCTTTTTGCAGTACTTCTGAAGAATTTTTCACAATGTTAGCATAAATTAGGACAAAGCAAGCTCTCAACTGTCATTGCTTGCCATGGGGACTGCAAACCATTTGTTGACCATTCAGAAACAAGAAATTGCAGGAGCTATGACCCTGACATCGTCTCCATAGGAGCAGCAAAAGGGATTCAAAAATCTGTGTAAATCCCCACCTTTAAGTGCTACTTTGGCATAAGGTATGGTACCTCACACAGTCTTGCAACATAAACAGTTAGCTGGACACAGACTTTTACCCAGTAAAAGGTAATAAAAATCAGATATGCAAGTGGCTTTAGAATCTGTCTTAACTGATGTTTTTATAATTAAACTATAGATTCACATTATTTCTACCTGTAGACCAACAAGTTGCCCATTGTCAAACTGAAATTACTTGCTGAGGGCAAGAGAAATGACAATTGATATATTTTAGTTTTACCCCTGGATTAAACTGAAGTAGATTTAGCAAAAATGGGAAAAGGTTTTGCTTCATTTGAAAATTGTGACATTATAGGTATACCAAATTGTAATAGAAGAATGAGTCTTAGGAAGCCATTTTAGCTTGATGTGCATGATTTGCTGGGTTGCTTTTTACTTAGAAATCTGTTAATGAAACACAGACTGAATAAATTTTATACAAAACAAACAAAACCAAATCCACAAATATTAGAAACTGTGTGAACAGTGAAATAAACTATGTTGGCTTATCTTGCTAGCAGGTGTAATCTGAGTGGGTGAAATATGTGCAATATTTTGCATCATGTTATGTGGCATTCTGTTAGCAAGAATGACAGCTGAAAATGACAGCTTCCACTAGCACTCGCTGGCACAGCTCGTTATCACCTGGTTAACTGCAGTAAACTTGGTTTAAAAATTCTCCAAGCATCAATAATGATTTCTCTCTTATGCATATCTATTACAAGCTGATGCCTCGATCCTGCTACTGCTAGGCAGTCTTCAGATCGTGGCAACTCACATGGGCATCCTGCTGCTCACCAGTTTGCATCTGAATCCCATATGCCCTACTGCTTTTTAGAGGGTCTTCATCTGGCTACTTTTCTCAAATTCACTTGTAACTCACTGGGTAGCAGTGCCCATGAGAAATATGACTCCTTATTGCCAAAGGCTAGACTTTAGAGGCTAAAGGATAGTGTCCTGCACCAGCCAGTGCAACATGTGTGTTGTCAAATCCTGTAGTATGTTTGTGGCTGCATATCTGTATATCTTCTCCATTCTGTGACTGTGTTTATTCCCAGTCACAGTCCTTTCTCTGGAGCTAACTGAAGGCTCGTGCTATTAGTTTTGGATCCCAGTGCAGTCCTTGCTATTGGCCGAGTGGCAGCTTCTGTGTGCCCAAGTTTTTAATGTTCTGGCTCACATTCTAAAACTGAGAGCATAATACTCTTTGCCTCCTTTACAATTTATGCTAGCAAGCTCTCAAGAATTACAGAATTTGAGTCTGCATTTGCATATCTGGCTCTAGATTTTTCCCATGTCTTTGAAACTTCTCGATGTAATGTCTATTAATGGCAAACTCATATTTTCTAAATTGCTTATTTTTAGCTATTTCACTTGATACGTAGGAACACATAATGAGCAGTGATACTTGCCAGCAAAACCCCCAATTTTCCCCTGAGTACCAAAATTATCACATTTAATTTTTGTTTTCACCATAGTGAAGTTATCTTGAGTTACTACACTTGAATAATCTGTGCTGGCACTGCTGTAACTTGAATGAGAGATGGGCAGGGCCTCTGTAATATAAACTACTAATGGGATGGATATTGCCAGCACAGTTGATTCAATGATGGAGCAACTGTATTAGTGGCTACTGAATTTGACTAGGTCAATTTTATGGACAGATGCTGTGCTACTAACTGAGATACTAACAGCTCCTCAGTTCTCTGACACCTAGCTAGCACTGTTCAGATTGATCTGGAGACTTTTGAGATTGAAGCACTCAAGCTGAAATTGCTGAATAATGATACATTGATGTCTTACATGGTTTAGCCTATTAATACACCTACTGATATGTTAACCAGATATTCTCTCAAGGATTCGTGTTTAAAATACTCAATTCATTACTTGAAATGTCTAAGCAATCTAAAATATATCTAAAACTCACATAACATTTTGGGAAAGGGATGTCAGATTTTTTTAATATACCCTTTACTGATATGTCAACTTTTAAAACCTGTCTGTTACTACTTTTTGCTAATAACATATATTATCATCAAAGAAATACTTCACTCATAATTCCTCTGCTTTTGTAAAGAAAAGGTATACACTTAGGAATCAGTTTCTTGCTTTAGAAATTAAGCTTTATGTGCCCCAATATACTCCTTGAAGCATCTTAGAAGATCTGAAGAAGATCCATCATTTCTGTGGTACAGTCTGTTTAGGCTGCACTGTACTTTTGTGTATGTCTACGTGAACATTTCCCTAAGTGTCTACACAGCCGTTGCACTAATGTTCCTGGAAGTAACATGTCAAGACATGTTCAAGAATCTTTCAGGACAGCTTATTCAGAAGTGTGGTAAGTGTACTTGGAACCAGCAGATGTGCAACCAAAGATTTTTCCTAAATAGATGCAAATATTTTACAGATACATCTCACAAGAAAACCCCTTGGCTCATTCACAAAATGTGTTATAAGACTATAAACAAAAAGCTGCAAAATGTGTTTGCAGTATTATCATAACTGTCATGAGAGTGCTGAGGAGTCTCTAAAAAATACCTTTCAAAAAGTGTGGCCAACAGTCAAATAACCAATAATACTCTAGAACTTTGACTTGAATGATTTATTAAGCTAAAGGGAATCAACTAGTTAGGGTGATTTAAGCCATTTTAGTTCCATTCCACCTGCACAAAGGGAAGGTGTGTTACTGCATCCAAATAATACTTGCCAGCAATTAATTTCAGCTTGTTGTCTGAGAGAAGTCAAAGAATGCTTGACAGCTTTTTCCTCTTTGTAAATCAGTTGTAAATGTTCAGCAAACAGTGTTAAGAACTGTGGGGAAAAATGCTAGAAAAATCTTAGAAAATGCTTATTTCTGTCTTTTTCTGTTACATGCCTAAAGATAGATTAATGCTGTTCTGTTAGCATCACTCAGCACCACTCACAGGTCATCTAAGGGAGACTCTTCACTGAAGCAAGTCAGCTCATCCCCAAAGGCATCGATGTGCTGCATGCACAGTGCTCCCAGCCTTCGATGACTACATAGCCAGAAATTTAACACATGATATGCAGCTGAAGAAAGAGTGATAGAAATTTTGGATGACAGTATTAATATACTGCATAAATCTCACTAAAGAGCCAGGGATTGCAGGCAGATTTTTTTTCAATTCGAGTGTTAATTACTGGAATTCTGTTTCATGTTAAAATATAGGTTAACCCCCCTGCCTTTTAGGTAATTATTTGGACTAAGTAAAAAGCTTTGAATCAACCAATTTTAGTTTGCAGAGACAAGATTTAATCTCAGAAGAGAGAAGAGGGAAGGATCAAATTCAGACATGCAAACAGAGCTACAAAGCCAAGGAATATACATATTAAAAGTTAGAATTAGGATCAAAAGGAATGATCATATAAGATAATTTTTCTCCAATTAGCATCTTGACACAAAGACCCCCATCTGAGGAGGATTTAAAACTACTTCACAGGGAAATATCTTTGCCATGAAGTGAACTTGATTGACTTTGACAAGATATCTAGTATCTCAGCCTTAGCTGACTGCTGACCTGTACTGCAGCCAAAGCGTGGAACTAATTTCTTGTCACAGATCATTGCAAATACTTAAAAGAACTTATTTCTACCCAGAAATTTTAAATAAAAATGGATAGAAACTGGATTAGAAATAGGCCAGACTTCAGGTCGTGCTATGAACTCCAGTAGTTAAATAGCTAAAGTTTCTTGCAAAAACTGTGCCCCAAGAAGCAAACAGTTCTTTTAAAAACATCCTGGTTCCCAGTTTGTCCCAGGATAACAGTTCTGTAGATAAATTCAGATCTTCCTTGAGTGCTGGGGTTTTTTTCATCATCTCTCTGAATAGTATATGCTATTATGTTGGAATGTTTTTGTATCCAGCATATGGAAAATATTAAATACATCCAATTGTTATATGACATTGTATGGTACATGTATAGGAGGCATAGTAGATTTGAAAAGAAAAGGTGTTTATTACCTGTCCCGAAGTGGATACAATTACTTTGCTTATTTTAATACATTGTAGCTAAATGTTTAAAAAGCAAATGTATTGTTCAGCACATTAATTATTTAATTTCAATATTTTTGAGCCCTTTGATATAACAAACCAAATCAGTACATAGTTTTTATGAATTTCTTTTGTGAAATTAGTTTGGGTAATATGGAGAAATAGGTAGAAGCACTGACAAATTGTTAGTCCTAAATTAACATGCTGTAACCTATGAAGAAATGAAACACTTGCATTTTATTATACCTGGAATACAGATTTTGTTAAGCCTGACAGCGTCCTCCCCCAATCCAATAGCAAACCTTCTCTAGGTTACTGTTTTGTACAGGTAGTACTCTTCATTTTGTTACAGTAGTGTCCATCTGCTCTGCACATTAAACCTGGGATGGCTATCTGAAAAAGAAAAAATAATTTCTTGGCAGTCAAGTT